TTAAATACATACTGTATATATTAGTAGTTAGCTTAGTTTATTTATTAGACACGTTGAACTATTGAAGTACACACATAAAGTTTAATTAAGATGGTAAATTTTATTGTTTTATCATTGAGTTGTATTATTGAGTATTATATAGGTAGTTTCAAAAATTTAGATTATTATTGAGTTTTTCATCGACTTAATTATTAAATAATCTGTATATTATACATATCAATATGTTTTAGAGGTGTTCTGTTGTATAATAAATACTTTTAATTTAAAAATGAACGAATTCATCATTATAGGTACATGTTGCGTTCTCGAAAGTTAGTTTTCGTAATTTACAGCCTTTTCAAAACAGGAACATATGTTACTTGTATATATATATATATAATTTTTATTAGCGTACAACAGAAATGACTATGATAATGTAAAATTATATGTACCTAATCATTTTGTGTAACAGTTTTCATTAGACTCTGGAATTCGGATAGCATATGATTTATTTAAATCAATTTATATAACTATGTAACAATGTAACATAATATTATATCTACATTAGAGATATTACCTACTATTTTCGTCTTGTAACACTCAAATATTTTTAATTATATTTTTTTATATTTATTTGTATTTATAGATTATTACATAATAATCATTTTATTTTATTTTCAAAAGCTATTTGAAAATATATTTATATATATTATATATCTTGATCTGGGATTAAGTTATTATACGATTCCGGAACAGTAATATGTATTTAAAATATTTTAAATGTAAATAGTAAAGTATTTAGTAATGTCTCAATCTTGAATCGTTTTTTTATGCAATGATCGGACGTTGAATTCAAATTTAAAACATCCATTATTGTGATCTATTATACTCAATGGACAAATCAGGGCACACTCGAAATATACTATACAGCAGGTCCACTTTCTCCGTTTTTTTATGCTAGATTCACAATTTTTTTTTTATTATGATCTATAGATCAGCATCTATTATTATTCTTTAACCTTAATCCTTGTTGAACCTTAACATTCCAAAACTATATAGTATAATATATAATAATTAATAATATATGTACACTGTATATACACTACTAATTAGTAATTAATAATATAATAACGAATAATCTTTGTACAACATGATTGTGAGATACTTTATAGTTTTTATTATTCATTTATATTGTAGCCTTAGTTTGTGTTGTACAACTGTGTAAGCGTACAAACTGAAGAACAGTTTAAAATATTTTAATGTTACATTAAATTTATAAATATATTTTAAAATTATTTATTTATTTGTTATACATATACAGTGGTCAATTATCGACAATTTAAGCGCTTTTTCCCTTTTTATTCTCTTGGGATGTTGTTCAGCCGATTAATATATTACTAATGGACTCGGCTGGTTGAGTATTTGCATTTAGCATACCCTAGCCGATTTGTAGTAGGTATTCAAAATCCTCAGTAGCGATGAAAGCCAGTTCGTTTTTATAACATAAAATTAGGTTTTTATAATTATTTAAAGGCTCTCTCGTTAAATGTGTATGCAAATTCAATATAATGTAATACAATAAACATCTCAAACCGATAATGTTTTTATATAATAGTACCAATGTCGTAGAAATTTAATTCTAAACTATAAAGTTGAGTTTTCTAGAATTACCTATATACCTGGCCGTTAAATTGTTGTTGAAACTATAAATATCTAAAATAAAATAATTAATTTTGAATTTGATGTAATATTAAATTAACAATTTGAAATCAATACGTTCGATAGCAAGATTATTAGAATCAAATATTATAAAAATCGTCGATTTCCCACGACTTGTATAGGTAATTGCAAAGTACACAAATAATGAAATTGGCAAGTGATTTGTGTATAGAGTTTTCCGACTGCAATATGTTTGATTATGGAACTTAGCTCAAAACAAAACATTCATATTTATATTCAGTCTCGTATGGACGTTATTGAATAGTATTCTTCGAAATCTCATGTTAACCTTATGTTATCCATTTTATATTGTATTTTTGGTTTAATAACAAGCATGATATTAATATTATATTTTGTATAGGTATGTATTGCATTCCGTCATTCCAGGTTATAAAGTATTTTGCTCTTGAGCTATATATTTACAAAATTATTTACATTCTGCATTCTGTGCATAAATTGTTCGATTTCTTTTCAAGGTTTTAATTTGATTAAATATATTATATTTACTCAAATATACAACATTTCATAATACACAATAGAATCAGATACTGACGCTGAGCAATAATTTCTATCCGTAGATATTGCATCTGTTTAATGTACATGCCTATATAATACAAATCATATGTATAATACGTCGACTGACTCTCTTAAATCCACGAGGCTGTTTTTGAACGATTTTAGCATATTTTTAAGGGCTCTCGATTCAGCGTTCGCGTAAACGTGATGGGTATATTTTCATTTTGTTGTTGGCCAGATAATATAATCCAGGGTGTTTGGAGTACGGGAAACGGTATATGCATGCACACACATTTATGTATTTATATATATATATATAGAGAGAGAGAGAGAGAAAAAGAGAACGATATGCTTGTGTATAATGTATACTATGCATATACCTCCGTAATATAGGGAAATGCAACGGACGCAGACATTATCATAATCGCAATTATTACCAAGCGCAATGAAAACACACACATATATATACTGCATATACTATATACAATACACATATAATATATAGAATATTATATATATTAAAAAAAACCCTCTAAGGACCAAATGTGCATAAAATATTATTACAATTCACGACCCCGGCTGTTGTGATATTATAATATAAGACTCGGGGAATTTCACTGAACACGCGCACTATACGGCTACATATACAATATACATGTATATTATAAAAATACACACACCGGAGAGGTCGGCGGGGTGGCATCATACTTCTTCGCTGCCAGGAAAACTTTTTTTTCGCAAGCGTTTTCCACGAGTTTGCGCAGACAGCTCCCTCCCGCAGCCCGCGTTATCGACTAAAAGATGGCGGACGCCACAGCGGCTTTACCCTAAAAACTACCCTTGTGTTGTTAAGGGATAGGGGCGTAATGCCACCACACTCCTACCTTTCTCTTCACCCCTTCCTCCACGTCAACCGAGGTCCCTCTCCAAAGGATCGCTAAACTAAGGGCTTTTTTTTTCCTACCCTTTTTCGTTTCGTTTTCGTTTTTTTTCGGTCCAGTCCAAAGCGATTTATTTTTGCCCGGACCAGAAGATAACGCCGTAATGTTTGCACAGTCGACCCTGCCCCGTTAGCAGAAAAAAAGGGTCCACTCCTCCCTACTCGCCACTTGTGTGCAAGAATTTCAACCCGGCAGTCATTAACGTAACGCTACAGTAAGCAGGATTTTTTAATATGCGATTTTTTTCTGCCCCGAGCGGTTTTTTTTCAGCTCACTTCCGTTTAATTTATTGCGAGAAACCCCGGGTAAAAGCTCGTCGGCCCCGGCAGAATTATTGTCCAACAAAAACGTCCTGCCGTTTCTTTATGCGTTTCTAATTCAACTCGCGGCAAAACTAGGCGAGACACATTATTCAACCGGAAAAACCTCCGAGCCACCGGCCGTTATTTATTCCTCTCAGAAATCCGGAATAAGCTGCACAATATAACGAAACACGTCGAAAAACCCATATTATAAATAATTACGTTTTCGGCCTGCTGCAGTATAAATTCATCCCTCCATCTATACAATATGTATATACGTATGCGATCAACAACATCCTGAAATTAATTTCGTTTTGTCGTTTGTCTCAGCCGTTGCTTTTATAGATGCAGCATATGTATGTACTATATATATATCCAATTATTAAGATTGTCGAAGGTAGAAATACATATTTATAGTGCTATATTTTATATATTCAGCCCCCCCCCCCCCACATCAAATTTTCGATGTTTTTACGGGTCTTATAGACAAAACATTTAATAAAATACTACCGGTCATTACAAGCGATACGATTGTTCCATACACGATTTCCACTTAATATAATATTATAATACACGTTTGAACCATAAAATATTATTAAATATAAAGGAATTATTCCTATTAACATTTCAAAATTTCAAAACATGACAAATTCATTTCAACGGGCCTTTAAGATAGCTGGGCCTTTGTGCTCCAGGTCAAACAAAATGGGGAAATCTGATTATAATATTATAGAATGTTATACACCAACCATTGCAACTTTCATTTAGTAAAGATAATTTAACCAATTTATCAATGCTTTTAATAATATGGTAAATCATGAGGTATATACATGTATTAAATATATTATATTATATTGGCAATGCGATTTAATTTATGATAGTAAAAATTTGATTTCTGGTTCAAGAGTTGTACGAAAATTTGTCTACGTTTAATATAGATAGATTTGAATTATCAACGATATTTTAAATTAAAAGTATATAATATATATTATTTATATTGGTAGATTATATAAGATTTATCACTTACACAACAATATATTAACAAAATCATAATTTCCAATTTTGACATAGGTTTTAAATTTTTTTTCAATGTATATATAATATACGTTGAAACCTATATGTTATTAATTATTATACTTTGTTTTGCATAACGAATTCGATATATTTTATCATTATCCCGACTGTCCCTAAAATTATTCGATACGGATCACGATACTTGTTTGTTCTAAATAATGCTTAATGAATATTCCACGCGATGTTTCTGCAGTATGTTTTTGGAATAATAAATCACCCATATTTTATCAGTGATTGAGCCATTGTAATTGAGTACTTAAAAAAAAAAGATGAATAACCGTTAAACGTTTATCATACCTACTTCATTATACTTTAAATATTGGATTACTAAAAACAAGTTGTTCATTTACAATTTATCACGAACAACGCATAATAAAATCTTTCATGTTTTTAATACATTTAAATTAATCAAAACATATTTCCACGGACTATGCTCTATTAATTAATTAAAAAAATGATCAAGACTTACCCCAATATATTGATTTAGTGCCAATGTCGATGTACTTTCTTTAAATATTCCTTTGTATGTCATTTAATAAATATAATTCCTGAAAAAAATATATGACGTGTTTAGAAATAAAACATTTATCAATCCATCAAATTATTTATAATTTTATATAAGAACATACAAAACACATTGCAAGCATATACCTGCATAATTTTTATATTATCATTGATTATAAATACTAACCTACTAATCTAACCTAACTTAGTATTTATAATTAATGATTATATGTAAAGAATAAAACATACATGGATATTGTGCTGTATGCTTGTAACTTGTATAGGTAGAAGAAGTCGTGGTCCATTGTCTTTTTTTTTAGTATAAGCTTAAATTTGGGTGAATATATTTTGCTGTTTATGTTCAAAAATGTATTTATTTTAAAATTTTTTTTCAAATCTAGGGAAAAGAAAATGTTAGTATTATGTGTAGGTATGAGTACTTCTATTTCAGAACCGGTGCTTTGAACTATTACCATACGATGTTGCTATGGTGATAACGATGACTTTTTTTAGAATAATATTATGAAAACTTTTTAATAATATCGGAGTTCCTACACTTGAATGATGAAAACAAGACATCGTCATATGTGCAGCAGCATTGTCGAAAACCGGACTCCGAGGTCCGAGAGGGTACGAACCGGACGACCCGCGCACACGATAATATTACAATATAATAAAATATATGCGTGCATACGTAGCGACCCGCTGCTCGGGCCACGAGTCAGAGGTGAACACGTGCCGTCCCGCCAACTGGTTTGAGCTGTAGAACCCTCCCGGAATCGGCCGCGGGACTCAACCACATATAACATTATACCAAATGGGTAGCTGGTGTATCAGGACGGGTCGTATTGTTATTTTTTGTAATAATTTTTTTTTTTTTTTTGGGGGGGGGGGGGGTAAAATTATTTGAGTATGTCATACTAAATTATTAATACATATTAAATTATTGATTTGTTTATTCGATCGTTTTTAGTATGATTTTCCCACTAAATATTGACCAGATATCACAGAATAGTCGAAAAGATTTATAGTTTTTATTCTGAAAAAATAATGACGATTTCGAAAATTTTATATTTTATATCTGCTTAGCTTGATGTATTATTAATCGATTCGGTCATCGGCATCGATCGGAATATACCTTACTTACTATGTTATTATAATATATATATATAATATGTTACTCACCTTTGCTATAAGACGGAAATTAGGTGATATTATAAAAATATTTCGGCACAACTCTTGATGAAATTGTACGGCATATACTGTACTACGCGCGTGATAAAATTATTACGACGAGAGACGATATTAGGTATAATTGTAATGTACTAATCATTACTCCGAGAACGGAAATCGTAGAACTGACAGAGATGACGAAGACGACGTGCGTTAACGACGTTGTCGCGTAGGCGAATGAAACGATGACGATGATAATAATAATATTATGTGTTATGGAGAGCAATAGATAGCCGCAGTTAGTAAAGGTACAGTCACGTGTGTGGGTTCACAGGGTCTGGGTTTTGTTTCTTTTAATTTATGCACGGATAGGTATTGTGCGCAAAAGACGCGGACCAGTTGCGGGGGAGACTTGTTAGTGCGTACGATGAGCTGGTAATACTTCTTCCCACGAAACGAAGAGCCGGTTGTTATATTATATTGGTCATACGTGTACATAAAATATTGTAGGTGTGGGTACGAGTATAACCGGCGTGGGAGTGCGTGTAGGTGAGAGCCGGGTGAATAGAATGCGTTTGTATATAATGCGTGTATTTATATTTTATTATATTATGTGTTGTGCGTGTATAAAATTACATTTCAAGGGGTCGGGGGCGGTGAGAACGTCGCGGAGACGCCTCGGATAAACGCCTTTTGTTGCGACTCACCATCTAAATAATATTACGTATTATATTATTATTATTATTGTATACATATTATTATTATTGCCTCTACCTGCGTATACTATACGATGGGGGAGAGTTCGGCCAAAAATTGCAACGAATATACCCGTACACATTGCAGTACAATAATACAACGGTCAAAACAGACAGGACTAACAATTAATAAATATTCAGTGCTTCATGCAACAGCTACATTTAATTGAAAATAATTTTTCTAAATAATTTTTTTCAAAATTGATATTAACTGACATTTAAGATACCTATAAATATTATAGTCGTCTATGTAGATAAATTTACATGCTAGTTTAAACTATTTGACATTTGTAAATAATTATTGGTGATTTAAACTAAACTAATATTAGTATTGATACTGTCTATCAAACAAGAAATATATATTTTGTTTTAAGAATAATATGTAAAAAAAAATTATTTCATTTCAATCTGGGTGTATATATTTTTTTCATTATCATCTATATCTAGATAAAAAAAATATCTAAACAGAACACTTACTATCTCATTGTATATAGTGTATATCATGCTATATTATAATTATGTTATTTATTATTTACTATGTTATAAGACGAGTATATTGCAGAAAGCGTCGTTTTCAGTTTCCAGACCACGTTTGAGGTCGTGACAAATTTTAATCGTCGTTCTGTATACTGTAAAATATTTGAGTTTTTATGTGATATAAAACATGTATACCATATACTTGATAGTTTATATAACTATACAATATACGAGTACATTCTACCTTTTATTTTATCACGATTGAGGATTTATATAGTATATTATAATATAAATATGAGGATTTTATTAGAACACCTTGGGGTCATACTTTTATAGTCTTTTTTATAAATATTTGATTAAATGTTTTTGTATTTGATCGATTTATATACAATTCGATACACTATTTGTTGGAAATCATTTTAAAACACAGGATAGTGATGAATTTAATAATAATTCTCGTCATGGAAATTTGTAATAAATGTATTATTTAGGTTTACCTACTTGTTTAAAGGTTGAGAGATGCTGTATTTTTGTTATAGATTATCATTTGCAGTACCTATACCTATTGTTTTCCAATAATAATTTACCAATAAACGATAAGCAGTACAACACATATTATGTACAATACCTGTAATTATGATATTTGTTATAAGGTATTATTTTTAAGGTTAACTTTAATAGTAATAAATAAATTATGTATGTACAATATATTATAATAAATAAAATCTAGATTTTTACTTTTATTAAACACAATATTTGTTTAAGCTTTCAGACTGTATTTCTTAGAAACCCTAAATTTATACATACTGCTATAGTGTAACCGCGTGTTTAAAAAAAAACTGAAAGCTACCAATTAAAATAAATGTATTTAGGCACTAATTTTAGTTGAACGTGCTAAATTAATGAGTGCGCATTTGGTCGCTATTTTCTAACGCAACTGAAAAATATTAACGAAGAAAAACATTCGTTACCTACTGTTATTTTATATTATTTTTAAGTCTTATATAGAAGGTTTTGTGTTAACGTGTGTTATAAGTATACCTCTACTAGTCTACTCATATAAATTGTTTTATTTGTTTACCTCTAATTTATTTTCCTTTCTTATTCACTACTCGTTTTCCGCTAAAAGCATTTGTTATAGAATAGGTACCATTGTGTAGTGATTTAAACACTCAAAAAATCAAATGTTATGTCACACTTTTATTCAACCAACACAAAATATATACGCATAATATCAGTTATCACGTCACACATCCGTATGTAGTTCAATCGAATTTAAATGGTTGTAAGATAAACATACCGTTTAGATATTTTCGTCCAGTATGTATTATTATTATATCCTGCTGTACAACATATTATTGTACATCATGTTTTCAAATTAACAATTTTTTTTCGATTTTTATTTACACCTAACTCAATTATCTTCAACGCGCATATATTTTGCTACTGGTAGACGCTGCAGCAAAACACTAAGCCCGTCAATTTATTGTAGGTTTGGTACTTGATTTTAAATTGACTTCTTGATTGAGTTTCAACTACGCGTTCCTATATACATACAAATACACGTATTTATACACCTATACACACCCACTCACCCGCTCGCACACACATAATTTGTATATAAAACGTCGGCGCGTATCCCTACAATTTGCGTGCTTTTGAATCGACGACCCATGTATAATTAGTACTTGCGTGTACACTACTACAGTATACCTACCTATACGTACCACACCCCCTCACCGTCATCAACACCTAACTTACACAATATATATACAATGTAGTGTGGTTATACGGACGTGGATTAGAAGTGTGTTTAACGGAAAGCAACCTAAAGCAAATCGGTTATGATATACTTCAACATAGGTATTTACTATTTATTTATGAGTGTGTGTGTTATGTTTATTGTTTAATACCAATCACGACTTTAGAACACAGTATAGCCTATGGGTTCTATTTAAGTGCGCAGCTCACGTGTGCATAGGTAAAGCTTTTATATGGTATAATAATTTTACTCAAAATGTTAATCTTCGATCTGACGCATTACCCCATATTATATAATATGTATATATATTTATGTTCGCTATAGAAAGTACGTATAGTATAATAAATCTTCTAGATATTCAAAAATGCCGTTCTAAGTTGTTTTTTAGATCGCGCGTGTTCCGATTACAAAACCAGTGGATCTAATCTTGTGCGGGGAATTAATTCAGTGTAATATATGCATACTGTTGGATACCAAATGTTAACATTCTTTTCATATATTGAATCATCTTGTAAGGCGTTGAAAATTATATAGAGAGTAGAGACGTTTTATTCCTAATAACAAGTGAAGCCAACCTAACTCTGTTTTTGTCACTTATATTAACCATGTGAATTCTAACGGATCAGAATTTGGTATAGGTTAATTATATCAGTTAAGTTCAAATAAAAAAAAAATATAGGTTTGGCTTAATTTATAGCTATAGGTAACTTATAACTATTAAGGATAAATTAATAAATACCCACCTCACAAAAACAATAATTGTATGTTAAATATAAAATATAGTGTGTATCTGAAATTTATCAGTATCATTATTTAAAAAAAATGTATAGAATATTTTTGATTTTTAATAAATTCTTCGAATTAATTGTCATTTGGATATGAAACAAAAAATTAATGTTGTCAATTGTTATTCGTAAGAGTAAAAAACTTCAACATAATGGTAATAAAAAATATAACTTATTTTCAAATTGTTGGTTTGATATGTCTTTAAAATATATATAAAAGAAATATGTTCAATGTTTTTTATTCTGAAATAATGAGTGTTACGGTGTATGGATCACTCCATGTATACAACGCGTTTAAGCGTTCTATAACCTTTCAGTAGTTTTTTTAAATTAGAATATGAAATTCGTATTGGTTCAGAGTGTTAAGACATATTTTGGTCGACAGTGAAATTGTATTTTTATTTAAATTCATTTTTACGATTTAGAATTTTTTTTTAAATATATAACAAAAATAAATAAAATAAAAATACCATGTTCTTTCCCACTTGGTATTCAACTCTCCCTCCCCATCCCGTAACCCGAGACTGATGATTTATTTATTTTTTTACTGTGTATTGATGACGTGGTAGTTATTAAAACTGCAGAGTAATATTTCCGCACTCGATGGACCCGGAAGGTTTTTGCAGACAATTATTAAACGCGCGCGCGCGATCACACATATATAATATATACATATACATATGTATACATACATATGTGCGTCGTATACGATTTTTTTTGAGTTCATTTACACAAGTCGCAGTATACATATATACACATACACACCGTGTGTGCTGCTGTTACAGCGTGAATTACCATATTTTCACACACACATACATTTCTGCAGCACATACGCGTTATTGCACACTCGCATTTACATATAGATAAAGTGGCGCAGGTACCTAACCTCTACGCGTATATAAGGGGCGACGGTAAAGTGAAAAAAAAGAGGGAATACTCGATTCGACTACGGTCGTGTCGTCTGGTATAGTATGGTGCTACATCAGGCGCATATACAAGTACCTACATATATATTATTATAATCGTATAGAATTTTTAATGGTGAATATCTTTATACCCAGAGACCCGAAACTATGTACATACGCATATATTATATACAATTTATATATATATATGTGTGTGTTATATTATGTACCTATACCTATGTAGGAGGTAGTGGTGACGGTAGTGGCTATATATAATATAATAATTATGTAGGGAAACAATTGGCTTGTAGAGCGCAAGCGAAAAAGGCGTCAATAAAAAAAATAAAAATAAAAGTAGGGGAAAAATTCTGCTGCCGCTGATGTTGACGTGTAGGTAAGGACGTGTAGGGGTGGTGGTGGAGAGGCGTACTAGCTGTGTAGTGTGCGTTCATGCTTGTGCGTGCGTGCGTGAGTCAGTCGGCCATTTTGCTCGACGAAAGGCTCGTATATACTGCGTGGCGGCGGCCAACAACAGCGGTGGCAGCAGCCATTG